AAGCAATGCATCAGAACCGTCCCTTACTAGACGGGTTTCTCCCTCAAACCTCCACAACATAGCATGTTTTGAAGAATAAATTGATAAATTTAAATTAAATTTCCATGTAAGATTTACGGTAATTGATGTTTTAGTATTAGTAATGTTATTCAAACCTCAATGAGTCGCCGCCATTCATTTTTTAGGTTTGTGGCAGGTTAATCAAACAGCCAAAATAATATCTAGTGTAATGTGATAATTTTAGCTTTATTTTTGAACACAATGAAAATGACCTTTGAATACCTATATTATATCTAGCTAATTTCCCCAAGAATTAAATTGTGTCATCGTTGTGTGGGTTTTTTGTTGGGGGCCTCTCATTGGAACTTGAATCATATTGGCGGTGTATTGAAGACAAAATTTATTGGCAGGAATATTTTTGAGTTGTCAATTTTGGCGGATAGCGTTTTAACGGGATTTCCAATGCTATTAATAGGGAAGCTTTTATTTTTTTAAATAAATTGCCAGTTTCCGAGGAGGGCAGCTTATCGGGGAGCATCTTTGCGGGGTTTTTAAAAAATATCGATAGGATCAGCAAACATTCGAGTGATGAATTTAATCTTCGCTCTTGACGTTCGATTGATCCAGGAAGGTTCGACATCTGCTGCTTTGTTGAGTGCTTTTATTCTGTTCACTTGAATATCTCGTGATCCTCGTAATTAACGGCTTTGATTCAAAATATTTTACCTCGTGATTCAATTCCTTGTAGTCTAAACCTTCGACTCCCATTTCCGTCAAAACGTCCGCAAAAAGAGCCACGTATTTTTTGTTCTTTTCCGGAACGCCTCCGGTGTGGATAATGGCGCGGAAGTAAGTCACTCCATTTGTTGGTAGGGCGCAGAGTTGGAAAGGAACCCCAGCTGCAATGGCGAGGACCAAGTCGCAAGGAGGCTGTGCGACCTCGACATCTTCTAGTTTGAGAATCGGAAGCTTTGATTTGTCCTGCACTTGCTCGTTGAGCTTTTGCAATTCCTTGCATTTTATTGATATTTCCTGTTTATCCGTTGCACTCATTTTAGCGAGCTGAAAGAGACGAATTCGTATTTTTGAGACGAATGCAGAAAAACTCCGTCGCAACACATCTCATTAAATCGATTCTTTTCTTGGTCCCAGCAGTTGCTGAATCGAGATAATATAAAAATTTCTTCATATAAAAGGAGTTTTCCTTTAAAATCTCATTATAGTTAATTAAGTTTCGCTGTAACAAACTAATTCTCCTTTAAAATCTCATTATAGTCAATTTTTGTTTTGATCAGGTGTGCATGGGGCATGGGCAATTTTTTATCAAGTGAAACCCAGGTTTTTCGATTATGAGCATAATTTAAAAATTTTCTCAAAATGTAAATCCAATCCTTTTAGAGTTTTTGCACAGAAATTTTAAAATATAACCAGATACATTTTAATTAGGGCTTAATTTTAATTTTAATCAGGTTTCCCGGGAAATTTCAGTCCTACACGCTGAAAGCACCAAGAATTTTAACGAATTTTCGGTTACAATGAATTTCTCCTGAGGTTCGTGGGAATTCGTTGTAAGGAGATTTTAATTTGATAGGAAAAAATATGATGCATACTTTTTGTTTAACGAGTTCAGCTTCAGCGCGTTCCCGCTCGTTCTTCACATCTGCCTTCGGAAGCAGGATCGTAGTTAACNAGGCATAACCCGTTTCGATCAGATTGCTCGTGCCTTTGGCGCAAGATTTTAAATGTAAAAAAACTCTAAAATTTCAAGTTGCAGTAATAATTTAAGACGCTTCAAAGCCACTTAATCCCTGAAGATCGGTTTCCCTTCTGAACAGGTGATTATTTCGAGGGGCGCTATCGTTCATGATGTATGACGTTAGTATTTTTATGCCTCACGTGAGGTGCAACGAGGCAGTTGGGGCAGTTCCCTGAATCAATTTAAAAAAATAATTGTATCGCCCCAGTACCTGCACGTCGCTTCGACTTTAACTTGCGAACCACGTTTTCCATCAGTAGCCGCTTTCTTCTCCATTAATCTTCCGAGTAACGAAATTATATCCGTGCCGGGACCACTTCTTCCTAAAGGAGCAGGGATCCCTCCAACAAATCTCTCCGCGAGCTTCAGCGCATCATTCATAAAATCTTGACTCGTGTTGATCGCGCAGGTCATTGATCTCGGATCGAGGACCTTTTCACAAATATCCTTTAAAGTTTCTGCCGCCCGCTGGAGATTCTCTTCACTCGAGTTGATCTCCCGGAGAAATTTCAAGTACGGGAGTCCCATGATTTCTTCGTTGAGGGCGGCCGAGGCGGACATGGATTTTGCTGCCGTGATGAGTGCTAAAGTGTGCGCTCCGCTAATGAAACTGTTTTCGAAGGATGCGAGTTCCTGTTTGACCAAGTTTTTGAGTCGGTCTGTCGTTGGCTTGAAGCTAGTGAAAATGCTCCTCCAGATTTCGAACATTTGTTGCGTGTTGCGGTTCAGGCAGAAGCTGCCCAACAGTAGGGTTTGTTCTGCCAAATCCGGAAATAGAGGGTTTGAGTGGACAATACTCGTAGATTGCAAACCGCCTGTCCGTAACATAACCTGAAAAAATGGAAGATACAAAAAAATGATTTTCTATTACAGATGAACATCCATAACTCAAACCTCCGTAAGTCGAAATGCAAATTTCATATTTTTTGAAGTCCCTGTCTGAATCCCCTTGAAAGCAATGCATCAGAACCGTCCCTTACTAGACGGGTTTCTCCCTCAAACCTCCACAACATAGCATGTTTTGAAGAATAAATTGATAAATTTAAATTAAATTTCCATGTAAGATTTACGGTAATTGATATTTTAGTATTAGTAATGTTATTCAAACCTCAATGAGTCGCCGCCATTCATTTTTTATGTTTGTGGCAGGTTAATCAAACAGCCAAAATAATACCTAGTGTAATGGGATAATTTTAGCTTTATTTTGGAACTCAATGAAAATGACCTTTGAATACCTATATTATATCTAGCTAATTTCCCCAAGAATTGAATTGTGTCATCGTTGTGTGGGTTTTTCATTGGGGGCCTCTCATTGGAACTTGAATCATATTGGCGGTGTATTGAAGACAAAATTGAATGGCAGGAACATTTTTGAGTTGTCAATTTTGGCGTAAAGCGTTTTAACGGGGTTTCCAATTCTATTAATAGGGAAGCTTTTATTTTTAAAAATAAATTTCCGGTTTCCGAGGATGGTAGCTAATCGGGGAGCATCTTTGCGGGGTTTTTTAAAAATATCTTCAGGATCAGCAAATATTTGAGTGATGAATTTAATCTTCGCTCTTAACGTTCGATTGTTCCAGTAAAGTTCGACATCTGCTGCTTTGTTGAGTGCTTTTTATTCTGTTCACTTGAATATCTCCTGATCCTCGTAATTAACGGCTTTGATTCAAAATATTTTACCTCGTGATTCAATTCCTTGTAGTCCAAACCTTCGACTCCCATTTCCGTCAAAACGTCCGCAAAAAGAGCCACGTATTTTTTGTTCTTTTCCGGAACGCCTCCGGTGTGGATAATGGCGCGGAAGTAAGTCACTCCATTTGTTGGTAGGGCGCAGAGTTGGAAAGGAACCCCAGCTGCAATGGCGAGGACCAAGTCGCAAGGAGGCTGTGCGACCTCGACATCTTCTAGTTTGAGAATCGGAAGCTTTGATTTGTCCTGCACTTGCTCGTTGAGCTTTTGCAATTCCTTGCATTTTATTGATATTTCCTGTTTATCCGTTGCACTCATTTTAGCGAGCTGAAAGAGACGAATTCGTATTTTTGAAACCAATGCAGAAAAACTCCGTTGCAACGAATCTCATTAAATCGATTCTTTTCTTGGTCCCAGCAGTTGCTAAATCGGGATAATATAAAAATTTCTTTATAAAAACGAACTTTCCTCTAAAATCTCATTATAGCTAATTTTTGGCTTGTTAGGGATAATATGAAAAAATTGTCGCCATAACAAACTAATTCTCCTTTAAAATCTTATTGTAGTCAATTTTTGTTTCAATTAAGTGTGAATGGGACATAGACAGTTTTGATCAAGTGAAACCCAGGTTTTTCGATTATGAGCATAATTGAAAAACCTTCTCCAAATGTAAATTCCCCTCCTTTTGAGTTTTTGCAGATAATTCAGAATGGCTGGAAGTATGAAGCTCTAATTAAAATTTATCTGGCTATACTGTATTTTAGAATTTAGAAATTAGTTGTTAAAGATGGTAATTCTTGACAAATCTGTTCTGGTTATTTGTGTATTTATCAGGTTTCCCGTGAAATTGTAGTCCTCCATGCTGAATGCACCAAGCATTTTTTTGAAATTATATTGATTCATTCTGAGGTTTGTGGGAGTTCGTTGTAAGGAGATTTTAATTTGATAGGAAAAAATATGATGCATACTTTTTGTTTAACGAGTTCAGCTTCAGCGCGTTCCCGCTCGTTCTTCACATCTGCCTTCGGAAGCAGGATCGTAGTTAAC